TATATATATATTTCAGACCGCATGAACTTTCACATTTATTTTGTGCTTTAAAAAGATCTGAGATGTGACAGTGGATCGGGACATTCTGTGCATCTTAAAACAGCATCGCCCYGAAGAAGATGTGATATGACATTTAAAAAAGATACATGTCGTCATTTTAAAGGGGCATTACCATGCAAAATCAACTTTTTTTTTGAGTTTTATATCATGTTATAATGCTATACTCTCATAAAAACATGCCCAAAGCCATTCATGCATGTTTGAGAAATCCTGCAGCGTTTATAGGCAGCCATGTTGAGGAGCAAAACGACAGGACCAGAAACGCCTTTGGGGACCAGAAACACCCCTGGGACGTGTCTCTAAGCCAAACTTCTCGGGTGAAAGTGAAAGTGAAACTGTCTGCTGAGCTCTCAGCACTATTTCTCACTCAGTGAAGCTCTTTTCAGATGAAAAATACCTTTGAGGACATGTATTTTCAGATGCCAAGTGAACTGCATCATAGCCCACCCCCCCACCCCGCCACACTGAAATAGGCGGGACAGAAGCGAAAGGTGGTTCTTAAAGAGACAGAGGCCAATTTCAAGGCGTTAAGAAGAGGAAGTGATGAGAAGACAAGTTTATTTTCTATTCGAACATAAAACAGCATTTTAATAACAGCTAAAGGTGACATAGATACTTTATTATGGTATAGTATTTAAATATATGCCTGAGAAACACATTATATTGCCCCTTTAAAGGTTTTAGGCGCATGTTCTTCAACATCAAATTCCACGTGACAGAAAAAAACAGACTTGTGAAATTTACTGCTGGTTATTCTTAAACGATCTCAACATTTTATTTTGTAATCTCAAAAAGCCCAAGTGAGAAACATGGTAAAGTGCATTTACTGAAATCGTTTTTGCTCTGTCCTTTTTGATTACCGACATTTACGTGTTCATTACTTGTATAGAGAGAGAAAGGGACACCAGATCGACATTTCACTTCAGGGCTTTGTTGCCGTTTTCCTAATTTCCTTCAGGTACTAAGCAGGATATTAAACAAGGTATTTGTTCACAGTGAAGCCCTAATTAAGACCTTATGTCAGTTCGTCTCACATGTCACTCTCTTTAAAGCTAATGGATGGAGCTGGGAGGTCAAACTGGTTTATAGGTTTCCAGATGCAGCTAAATGCAAACATGACATTTGCTTGCCATGTATGACTCATCTGCATCAACAAAAAGATAAAGTGTCTTTGTTTTGAATGTTATATAAGTTGCTCTGAACTGTGACCTCTGTTATTTGCATATTTGGTCATAAATCTTTGTTTCGAAACAAGACAATTACTAACTTGCCACTTCATCTGGGATCAGTGTTTTATAAGGTCTACTTAGTATCTTTTAAAAGAAAGCAGATTTATGACGGAGCGTCACGCTGTGCAGCATTGTTTATTTGTGTCAGGACTATGAAAAGCGTTCTTACTGTAAAGATTTACAATCTCAGTCATCTCCTTGTCTAAATTTGGCGCCTTAAAAAGACCTGTGAAGATGGAGACACTCCACAGGAAAGGACACAGCAGTCTGCACTTTCTGAGGAAACTGAGGTCCATTAACTTCTGCAGAAAGCTGCTCCGTCAGTCTGGGCCTGTATCTCTTTCTGTGCTGTGGTATGCTGGGGAGGAAACGGCAAGATAAGAGAGACAAAGCATGACTGGACAGGTTTGTGAGAAGCGCTGGTTCTGAKGTGGACATGGAGCTGTGGGAACTGTTATGAGGAGCCTACTGAAACACCACACAGCATTTTCTGCTCCGCACCATCATCAGGCAGATGTGTTCAGAGACAGACTGCTGTCATTATCGTGCTCAGCAAATAGACATAAGAGCTCATTTATCTCCCTGTCCATAAACTGTCTGTAACACCTCCCAGCTGTGACAAATCTAGTCCACAGCATGGAGACAGACAGGACATAAAAATGAACAGATGATTGTTACTTTAGATTATTTAAAGGAGACATGGCATGCTTTTAAACCCTTTTTCACATTTAAATCATTCAGGKTGGGCTCTACGTAAAGTGAAACTTCAATACTTTGGTCTGAATTCCTCATTATTGTAACTTTGCAAGCCCTTCTTTCCCCCGTTTTCTGAGGTGTGTCTCAGATCAACTCATTTTGAGGCTTTCTCGTTAAATTCACCCCACACCCTCCAGCTTCCAGAGCGGTCCATTCTAGTTTGAGAGAGGGGTTTATGACTATAAACAGCGCAGAAACATTTATTTACAAATTAATTAAAAGATGTCATCAAGGAGCCCGCATATACAGTATGTCAAACTCTTTGGACGTTTACCTGTATAAAGAGCCTCAAAAATCCATGGATTTTGCAAAAAATACTTACAACTCGCACCCGCGGGTGTGTGTGTGTGTG